CTCAGATTAGAGATTTCCCCTTTCGTCGCCTCCTACGAGACGCAGGGCTAAGGTGGTGGTATTCGAACCCGCCCCCTTCCAAGTCCAAGTCACATTGTGACTGACGGTCAGTCGGCCAGTAAGTCTTGGTGTCAAGCCCTATCTGGGGCTCATGACCGGATATTTATTACTCTTTAACAGTTACTGTTTTGTTTTTGTGGGACACCTTCTCTGACGAGAGGACGGTTCTGTCTTTTGTATATGTATATGATGCTGGCCCTTACCAGAGCAGTCTTTCTTGGGTCCGAGTCCCTTGGGACTCGCGACCATATATATTACTGTCTCAGGTGTGAGACTACCCTCTTCGTCGCCTCCTACGACTCGCAGGGTCACGGTGCATGTATTCGACCCCGCCTTCACACGGGTTCGGCCCCCTTCTTGTCTGCACGGCCGCTTATATAGTCTCCGGTCCCCACGGAAAATGTTGGTTGCTTGTTCGTATCCTTGGAAAACTTTGTTGCTTCCGCTGACACGGACAACGCGTTCCGCACCAAGTCGGTCTCCCGAATCCACATATCCATAGAAACATGTTTCATTTTCGTAGCAACGCCTTGATTTCCAGAAGCGTATCCGTTCCCGCGGATACGCGCTTTAGCGAGCCGTTGTCAAGCAATGGACTTTTTCGGCTTTCAGGCGTCATGTCGCAATAAATTTATGATACACCAGTTCTTCTTTGTCATTTGTATTTTTGAAGTTGAAATGGTAGTTTTTCTCTTGTGTCATTGGAAGGCGTAGAAGGTTGACGTTTTGCACCGACGAATGTTAATCGGAAGGGCCACAATACTGGGATGGAACTTCAGCAAAATTTGATATAAAGAATGTATTCACAACATAAATAAAGAATAACGATAAAACAAGCATTAATAATACAACAAAAGCGACATAAAGAATTTCCCAACAGGATAATTCATAATAACAAGCACTTCTGCACAACAGCAATAGACGAATATTATTATAATTATTAGAGTCAAAAAACGGTTTTAATTGTGACTTTATGCAAAATGAATTGTGGGAACGCCAGTGTATCCTGCCAAGATCGAACACAAATTGAGAGTCGTGCTGTGCTCCGAAGTTAGACTGTACCATTTTTTTTTCGTGGTCTTCTTCGTGCCTAGCCGCCGACTCATTTACTGTTTTTAATTCCTTGACAGTAAATTGTTACTTTACTCTCGTAAGGCCAGTTTCAAAGACAGAAAAGACACTGAAAGGCCGACGCAATTTCTACTCGGGAACAATTTCAAAGCTGTTCCTTCTTCACGGTGAAGAACACTGCGACGGCGAATTTTATGACATATTTTATTGGCATTTGCAACATCGCATCATTGGCGCCATCTCGGTTCTTTCGCAGTGTTTCATACCGACTACATTCAACGATGACTCGTCTTTCCTAAATCTCGCTTCCGCCCTGAGCAATCCTCGTCATTTTTGGGGTTTACAGGCAGCAACTGTTACGTGCCACTCCCACACAAACTTCCGCCCTTATACGGCTGTAATCCAGGACGGTTTCTGGTCGCATGGCGTTCGAATGAATCACTACGCGGCTCCTAGCTGTGCGGCACACATGTCTGTTCAGCGCATGAACATTTCTCTCTATGGCTCTACAGCCCTTTGGACCTTGGCCGCTTTTTCAGTTACTTAATTCTATGCACAGTCAGTAGGACTCATTGGACGGAGGATCAGCCCGTCGTAAGGCCGCTACCTGCACAGAGAATAACACAAACACAGAATAAACGCACAGACATCCATGCCTCGAGCGGGATTCGAACCCACGATCCCAGTGTTCGAGCGAGCGAAGACAGTTCATGCCTTGGACCGTGCGGCCACTGTGAACAACATGAACATACCGTACGTAAATGTTTCAGCAGGAAAGTGTTCCTAAGATGAGCCCGAATACGGTCATAGATTCTGATAAAAATAATGCGACATGACGGCTAAAAGCGGGAATGGTTAAACGAATATATGTGGCCATTACTAGGAAAAGGCTAGGTAAACACGCTCCCGCGACAACACATACACACACAATAGAACTGTTAGAAGCGGTGTTTTCTATGCAGTCCGTGCCGAGGCTATATAAGGAAGGCAAAAGGGGCGTTCAATAAATCCAGTTATCAATCCGAAACCCTCGTGTAGTCACTAACACATGACAACATACTTCCTGACTTACTCATGGAGCTGAGCCCTTCTGCAGCTACTCAAGAATTTCCCAGCATTTTATGGAACCCGAAGGTTCATTACCATGTAAGATTTGAGGCTTTCACGGCGGTGACTATGAAGAAAGCAGTCTTCTGGGATTTGACACCGTGTACGAGTATATGTGGTGTTAACCATCGTTTCGGAGGAACGTATCGCCTCCATCTTCAGGGTAGAAGAAAAAATATAAGAAATCTGCAAGCGAAGAGACCGTGAGAATCGGTCTGCTGTTAACGATTCTCACGGTCTCTTCGCTTGCAGATTTCTTATATTTTTTCTTCTACCCTGAAGATGGAGGCGATACGTTCCTCCGAAACGTCGGTTAACATCACATCTACACGGTGCCAAATCCCAGAAGACTGCTTTGTTCATTACCATTTTCACAAGAGCTCTCCACTAGTCCCTATTCTGAGCCAGCTCAATCCAATCCATCCCATCCCATTCTGTCTCTCTAAGCACGTGACAATATATATGCACTAATTAATAAAGCAAGTGTTATCCTTTTCACAACTGTTGCATTGCTAATACATTACTCGCATTTCATTTCAGAGCGAAGAGGCGCCCGGGAAGCAAGAATCGGTACTTTACGCGATGTTGCCGCTGCTACAGCAAAGGGCGGAAAGAAACGTTCCGTGATTTAGCGTTCTTTAGAAGCTGCTTAATGCACGCGAAATTGCACGACGGGAAACTTTTCCACTATAATCTGCGATAATGTATTTTTGTGAGCTCGATCGCTAATTCGGAGGACTGACTCTTACACACACATACACAATTTTCTGCAAATGGGAATTCTTAGGTAGCGGAGAAAGAAATGGCAAAGAAACAAAACAAAGAAAGGACTAAAAGCACGAAAACAATAAACAGACAGGACAGAAAACAAAGAACGAAGGGAAACACCTTCTTGCCGAATGTTTTCATCTGCCAACGTTCGATGTACACAGCGTTCCAATCCACTTCTCCCGACGCCATTGGCGGAAGGGACGCTGTGAGAAACAACAGAAGACACTTGTTTTCCTGTCAGCCTTTTAGTTCCAGTGACTTTCGAAATTACGGCCCGGGGTTTGTAACACGCCCTGAAGAGAAAACCCGAGGGCCATCCCTCGAAGCCCAAAGCAGGGGTCAGTAGCACGGCTGCTTCGTATCCAGCGATGCAGGATCACTGTGTGTCTGGACGGCTTTAGCGTCGCCATGGGGGCTCCACAAACAGACGGTTCTAACAAAGGTCGTCCAAAATGCGGTTCGCTCGTTACATGCCGCCGGCGACAAAGAAAAATATATTAATGATATATTTTTAAAAAATACGCAAGGCTAAATGCATGGCCAAAAGTGTATAGGTTCGTATGCTTCATTATGAATATTTATATCAAAAGAAGGCACAAATAATTATGATTACGTCATGTTATGTGTGTTTTATTTACACATTTATGCTATTGTGGTACGCGGTAGCGTAGTTGGTTGAGGCACTATGCTACAAGCAGGAAGGTCGTGTGTTCGATTTCTCATGATGTCGTTTGATTTCTTCAATTTACCTACTCCTTCCATCCGTACTATGGTCCTGGGTTCGACTCAGCCTCTAACAGAAATAAGTACCGGGAATCTTCCTGGGGGGGTAAGGGCGGCCGGTCCGCAGAGCTGACAACCTCACGCCACCTGTGAGGCGACGGTCTAGAAAATGTGGGAGCCACGACGTCTCATAACCTTATGGACCTCCACGGCCTGTTACAGGGATAGCTTTATGGTCTATTAAACTGCGCAGTCAGTAACTCAGATTACATAGCGTCGAATGGTAGGATCGCAAATTAATAATAAAGCGGAAGGGATGTGGAAGGAAAGGGGCATGGCATAATTTGTGGCACGGTCCAGGTATTCGTCTGGAGAGACTAAGGAAAACCACAAAAGCCTTTAGTCAGGACATTCGGCCTCAAGGCCGGGACGTGAGTCTGTGACCTCCAGAATGAAAGACAGAAGAGCTATCCACTCGTTTTATGTGCAGGGGAGGTAAGCTTGGCAGCAATAGACGCCGTATCTGGAAGAGGTGAACATGAACGGAAATTAGCAAAGGATCCGTTTGGAAAACAAGACGTGTGTAGGCATGGACTGCTCATGTGTACCGTTGTTAACTTCACCATTGCTTTGGGCTGTAGGCACATTGGACCTAGAAACCAGGAAAATATAGGTAAACTTGTCCCGGTACTTAATTAGGTGAGCACAACATCCTGAAGACATGAGAGAGTGGAGGTATAGCTCCACTGCAAGTCTTGACCTCGGCACTACATGGAGATGAGTGGTCAGTTTAACGCCCCATCCGCTTTACTCCGAGATAAATCGCTCGGGTGGGTCACAGAGCCGGGCTGGACTCAATGAAAAGGACAAATCCGCGAATCGAAGTGTGACCGTGCAGCCTGTACCCTTCACTATACCGACTGAGCTATCGTGACTCCTCGGTAATGATAAACGCGCACAGCTTGACAACAACCTTCACAAAGAAACAGTCTTTAACAAGAAGGTATTTTTTATTTCTCCGGGCTTGCGTCAGATGGCAGGCATTTTTGGTGGTGCTAGGAGGAGATATATCACTGCCCCCCCTTCCCCTGGTACTGTTGAAGGTATTGAATTACGTTCTAATTCATCCTACATATGTATTCTTGCAGCGAAATCTTCCAGTGACACGGCTGAAATTACTTACTTGGGCATTAATTATTTAAAGTTCCTTTTCCAGCCACCAATACGTCTGCAAGGCTACTCCCCCTCTCCTCCCCCACCCACGGGTCCCAACAGCCGGTGAAATGTCGCTCATGTTACGTCATTAAACTTCGGCGATGAAGTTAGTTTTAGTGCTGAGGTGTAACAACGAAATGGATTACGGAGGAGTCAACGGAACGAGATGCCAGTTTGAAGAAAACGCGATACGTCAGAATTCCTGCAGAAGTGGGTGTGGAGCCGTGTATGGAACTCCGAGAGACAGGCTCTCAAACAAATGCCTTCTCTTCATCAGGTCTGTCATCAAGATCTAAAAGTTTGTGGTGTTATTAACCTCCTTGTTTTTATTTCAAACACACGTCGTTTCGGAGATAGGGACTAGCTCTACCAATTGGGTCCAATTGAGTAGGTTCCACCTGAAGACGGAGACAGAGCCCAGTCTCCGAAACGTGTGTTTCAAATAAAAATATGACGATGGATAACATCCAGAAACACAATAATTATATGTCTGTCATTATTGCGAATTCTTTAAATGCTGGAAACCCCAGTCCTGCATACCGTGTAGAAACACAACTCTCTTCAGCTATAAATATGTTTACAGGCCTATGTGTTACCGTTCTGTCTACCTAATTACGGTTGGATAACTGATAGTCCCATATTCAGTTTGTTACAATTTCCTTGCACAGTGGAACCTCGAACTTCGAACACAATCCGTTCCATGAGACGGTTCGACTTTCAAGATAAATTTTCCCATCTCAAATAATGTAAATTAAATTAATCCGTTCAAGAACCCAAAAATTTACCCACTATAAAATATTTTAAGTGCATATTTCAAAAGATCATGTTAGTAAATGATGATAAAACAAGTATACTTAATTTCGTTTTTATTTATAACAGTACATAAAAATATTGTATAATAAGCAATCGATAATAAAATTAGGAGCGATACAGAGCAGTCAGGTCCGATAAACGTGTACCACTTTCCCACTTAGGGATAAGTTTCCTTTTTCATTTCTATCATGGAAATTATGCGTTTTCTCTTAGGCTTTTCACCTCTAGTAACTGTCTTCAGTGCCATTATGAATGGGCATTATTAAAGATAATAGAAAAATAACCAAAACAAATAAATAAAGCCCTTAAAAAGCAGACTAAATTTGCGAGATGCCCACTCAAAGAATCACAGGAGAGCTGGCCGAGCAGCTGCGCGTGGGCCAAAGCAGAGAGAGAGAGAGGGAGAGAGAGAAAGAGAGAAGGCGACCACGTGACGACCACGCTATTCTTTGTTCGACTTTCGAGTTTTAAAACCGGCTTTTTCTCGAATTTTTTGTTCACGTTTGAAGGTGTTCGAACGTCAAACCGTTCGAAGTTCGAGGGTCCGCTCTATTTATGGGAGGTTCACGAAGGTCCCCAAAGGGTGGCCTTGATATCCTCTTTTTCTAAAATCGGTTGCTATTTTTCTTCCTTTCTTTAACTATTTCATTTTCATCCATTAATTCTCTCCGTCTGTTCCAGTGAGGAAGGTCGCCACACCGCGGTGTGCGCGAGAGTCCTCACCAGGCAGCACATTATCAAATCCTCGGTCTCCATGTTCGAGGTTTCATCTCTGACCCGGCAGCTCAGTGGTCGCAAAGAAAGTAAGAAAGTAAGAAAGTAAGTACACGGGTCTACGGACTAAGAACTATTTTGCGGACAGCAGGCCTAGTTTATTTTCTATTGTAACAAAGATGACTATTGTATTTCGTTCTGTCAAGGTGTGGTGCAGTGTTCTCTGCAGCAGCGGGTTTACTACACATACAGAGGACGTACACTTGGCTTTCTCTCAGTTATTTTTTTTATTAAAAAGATACAGGTATCCCTGTAACAGACCGTGGAGGCGCATAGGGTCGTGAGACGTCGAGGCTTCTACATAAAAATAGGCTCATAGATGGCGGTGAGGTTATCAGCCTTACGTGCCGGCCGCCCGTTATCCCCCAGGAAGATTCCTGGTACTCATTTCTGTTAGAGGCTGAGTCGAACCCAGAGCCATAGTGCGGCTGGAAGGATTAGGTCAATTGAAAAAATCCAGTGACCTCATGGGGAATCGAATCCGCTACCTTTCGGCTTGTAGCACAGTGCCTCAACCAAATACGCTACTCCGTGATTACTTAATTTAAATTTAAATATCTATAACTTTTGATAAATTATTAGCCCTCATCATGTCCCTGATGAATTCCGCCGTAAAAAAGCGTTCACTTTATGTACTTCGTTCAAAGGGAGCATAAAAATCAGTGTAAGAACGTTGCACAACACGGGAAACATCTCATCTGAAATGATATTTGTTTGTCAGGAAACTTCAATGTCGCAGAAAGCATGTGATGGTAACATAACATTTCCTTTCTACGTCAATACTATTGTATCCATGGGTCAGCCTTACGTCTGTATTTCTGAAAGAAAGAATGTGGAAGTTTTTCGTGTGTGACGCTGTTGTGTACCGATGAAGTATTACCATAGAAACAGAGACTTCTCAGGTTACATCAGCCAGGCGACCCAACAACGCAACTTCACTCAAGAGAAAGGATTACAGTAAACGTTCGCAAATTCGGTTTAATTGAGGGGAAGGTCATTTGGATTAACTGATAACCGGGATTAATGAAGGAGAAGATATCCCTAAAAGACAAAAAACTTAGAAAACGATGGAAAATGTAAACTTTAATAACAAGGGTAGTACTGATGAAAATAAATACAAATATATAACTGCGGCAATTTGTTCCTCTGTCAAAAGCTGAAATCCAGAGTTTCCTTCATCCAGCTCAAGCCAATCTTGGATATTTTATTGCATGGTTTCAGTCTCTCCAGCTGCCCTCAACACAGTCTGAAAGTCCTCTTCCTCTAATCCCTCTTTCTCCTAAATCCCACGTGGCTTTTAAACTATGTACTCAACTGTGAACAGAATTTTTCATTTTCCTTTATTTCAATCCGGATTAACTGTATCCAAATTAGCGATGATTTAGTGTATTAACGTTTCGTCTTCAGAATCTAGGGCCAGACGATAACAGAATTATCTGCCTAACCTATTATACATTCAATAAAATATATGTAAAAAAGTAAAGGTATCCCTGTAACAGGCCTTGGAGGCCCATAGGGTTGTCAGATATTGAGGTTCCCACATTTTCTAGACAGTCGGCTCACAGATGGAGGTAAGGATGTCAGCCCTACGCGCCGGACGCCCTTTACCCCCAAGAATATTCCTGGTACTCATTTCTGTTAGAGGCTGAGTCGACCCCAGGGCCACAGTGCGGTCTGGAAGGATTAGGTAAATTTAAAAAATTCAATGACTTCATCGGGATTCGATCCCACGACCCTCCGGCTTGTAGCATAGTGCTTCAACGAACTACGCTACCGCGTGCCCCCATAAAATATATGTGCATATTTGTAATCTATCTATCTGTCTGTCTGCCTATCTATCTATCTATCTATCTATCTATCTATCTATCTATATGTCTGTGCCTGTCTGTCTGTCCGACCGTCCATCCATCCATCTGTCAAGTTTGCTGTTGCGTGCACAAGTTTGAGGACAATTTCTTTTCCCATAATTTGCCCCGGGAGAAACCCCGTGACTTCAATATAAAGGCCCATTATTATAGTAACTAAAGATCCATTTACCTACTCACAAATATTAATATAGCACACGCGCTTTTATTTCAATATAAGGCACGAATTTCTGGTCTCGAAGGAAGGAACTGTATTGCTTAACAACGTAACCGAGGGGCCACTGAATTTCTTCCGTCAGCATGAGGTCGAGAAATGATGAATGGTTATCGATAAATGCTGCAAAGTTACAGAAGAAATAAAGACATTGCTTACAATCTCTGACGTTCTTTTCAAAGTAAGAAAGAACCCCGTACGGGAGGTCTGCATGTGAGGTACTCTTAGAGCCTACACGGCAAACTTCCATTAAACATTGCGAGATAATTCCGAAATTTCTGCAGTACTGGTCCAGAATAAAGGCCGGTTTACATAAGGTCCTAAATTGACTCTTCAGTGCATCCCACAAACCGCTGGAGAGTTCTTGAAAATCGATATTGGAGGCTTCCACCAGACGATTTCTTTTATTGCTAGTGAGGTGGGACTAAGTCCCTTGTACTGCGGCCACTTCTGGCCTATTGTACCAGCCCCAGATGATAGGGGAGGGTGATTGTGGAGCAATTGGTGGAATGAAGATTGGCAGGGGAAACCGAAGTACTCGGAGAAAACCTGCCCCAGCGCCACTTTGTCTACCACAAATCCCACTTGACCAGACCCGGGATCGAACCCGGGCCGCCGCGGTGGGAAGGCAGCGACTAACCGCTTTAGCTATGGCGCGTCCCTCCACCAGACTGTAAGGCGTATTGGCCAGTTAAAAAGCTTACTTTATACAAAGATATAAATGGACTATTCCATGTATCCCACAAAATATTATACAGATTTTCTTGATATCCGACACAAGTCTTTTCATTGAAATTGTTGGGAAATTCCGATTTTCAGCCATATTGATCAAAGAAACTTGGTTTACGTAGGACATAAACGTACTTCTCTATATATTCCACGAAACGTTGAACAGATTCTCTCTCGCGATGCATAAGGATAGACGGAAGCTTTAAACTAACATTATATGTTAAAGAGAGAAGTTCTGGGAAGAACTGATTGCCTACCTTCATTTCACTGTAATTTGAGGTTCTGATACGACAAGTAGAAAGAAAACTTAAGCATGTAGGAGTAATGAAGTCAATAAAACAGTACAATCTGGGAGACTTCAGTGTTGGTATTACTGATGGGAGTTATTTATGACGTAGGCCGTTGAAATGGCTTCAGGTGGCATGATATATGTACCAGGAATTCAGAAAATCAGTTTGGGCACTGAGGCAAGATGATTACCTCGAAAATACGAGAGGCTGCAGAGTGGGTATTACTGATGGGAAGGATTTATGATGCATGCCATTGAAATGACCTCAGATGGCATGACATAGATGTACATAGCAAGTTTCATGACGATCGGTTCAATAATTCATATAATATTAAGGTTATTACCTCAACAATTTGAGATACTGTAATGTTGGTACTACTGAAGAGAGGTATTTATAAATTATGTAGTTGAGTTTGGCTCAAATGGCATGACATACGCACAAAGTTTCATAAAGATCGGTGCAACCATTCAAAAGTGAATAAGGGGATACACATACAAACATGCAGGCAGCAAGGTGATCTCACAAGCCTACTTTTTTTCAAAATAAGGGAAATAGTTAAAAATAGCTGTAAAGACAAGAATGTTTATTACACATACGTAAATTGATCGAGTTCATAAATGGTAGATGGCCCTTATTACACTTCTAATTTGGTGGAAGGGAGAACAGGCCAACCATTTTCAGCAATAAGCTAATGAAAATTAGCTGGAATCTCAGTAGTGGTACCAAACATTGTGGTCACAGATCTGACTGTGTGACAAATCAGCATGTGGTTTTCTATTATCTGTGCCTGTGTGTGTTTACAGGCAGGTATTCATAGAATTTGCTGTCTGATGCAGGTCGAACAGAGGGGGAAACTGCGTGTGTCCATGTGGCCAGAATAACAGCGGGGACATTCTCAAGCAAATAGCAGAATACACTGGACATTGTCTGGCTAATGTAATTGAATGCGCGCCGTCTTAACTCTCGCATGACACGAAGAACTGAAATAAAGGAGAGGACACACACAGAAGGAAAATAAATATAGAAATACGCAAACAAATGAAGAAAAAGAAATATGTTTCATTGCAATTTTCTCTTCGGTAATTTGGCTTACGCCAGACAATACACCATCCTTTTGTTTTTAATATTTCCTTATAAGCATAGATGTTAACTGAATTCTAGCCCTCTGAGTAATTCATTCGTCAATAGTGTAGTGTAGTGCAGTGTTACGAACATACAGTCATTGCTTGTGTTCTGAGGCGTCATTATCCGATGCAGATTTTATTCTGTTCCTCCATTCCTCCTAGAGTGATTAGGGCCAACTCCCGTCCTCAAGTAAGAAACCTATTCGAACGAGGAACAAGTTCAAGAAAGAAGCCTACATTATTGAACATTTCCGCCTGCTGATTAGACAGCCCACATATCTCTGTAGTGAGACAAAATTACTAACTCTCAGGCGCCACCAACAGCCATTATGAAGCGAGCGACTGATTTAGGAACTACAGCGGCGACGGTGGGTGGGGGCGGGGGGTAGGGTTGAATAGAAGAAAATCCACGTCTCTTTAATTCATTTCTGGTGATGATTAACTACAATTTACCACCACAGCCCTCTACATATAAGTTTATTAGTTCATTATGCGGGGTCACGGTTTTTTAAATGTTTGGCTATGCCTACTCCTTGTACCGCTACACACACAGTTGAGATAGAGGTGTCAAACAGCCATACATTCGAAGGACACAATGGTCTCTCACTAGCTGGTTTGCTTCCTTTTATGCTCTTGATCTTACCAGCAATTCTTTGCACACAGGTATTAGGTGAGAGCAAGGAAGAAAAACAGAAAACAAAATATATATGAGGAAATAAGAACAGAATAAAAAAGAAGGAAATAAATATACCTCATTATGGTTTAACAAGTGTCAGACCAGAGCTCGTGGAGTACTCAGCTCATGAGAGTTACTGCACAAAGTATGCTCATGATCCGAACTTGAGTTCCAGACATTTACACAATACTAGGATCAGAGAAAGTTGTGATCTGTATATTGGCAAAATATTCTGGGCATTGTGTAGCCTGGGCCGTGTCTTCATTTGATTTATGCACCCCTGTTCTTATGGCACGGATGTTAAACCTCGACGTCAATTTTATTTCGTCTTCATCAACCTAACAGCAAAATTGTGGGCCGCTAAAATAAGTCGTAAAGCGAAAGTAATTCATACCAGATAACTTCAATACTTTCTGTTAATAGCATCCGTAAAATCCTCTGAATGAAAACTTCAATTCAGCCTTTATTTGAAACACTACGCTCAACTGAATTGTGCTTGTAGCTCCTAAAGGGTTCTGACGATGATGTATAACACTCAGGGCTACTGGGATCTTGGGAGTTGTCCATCGTCTGGTATTAAAAAAAAAAGAGAGAATATCAACACTGATTGCGGTCGGTGTCTCCCTTCTCACCTGAAGATGGAAACAGATCCAGTTTCCGAAAACATTTGTGTTCTCTAGTGTTTAGAATACCGGACGATAGACAAAGTCCAAAAACTCAGTAATTCTGAGTAGATTACTCGTATGCCTGTGTTTATGTTTAATACTTACGTACTCATGGAGCTGAGCCCTTCTGGAGGTGCTGCCAATTCTGCAGCTAGTCAAGAATTTCCCAGCATTTTACGGAACCCGAAAGTTCATTACCGTGTTCACAAGAGCCCTCCACGTGTCCCTATCCTGAGCCAGATCAATCCAATCAATACCATCCCATCCTATCTCTCTAAGATCCATTTTAATATTGTTTACCCACCTACGCCTTGATCTTCCCAGTGGTCTCTTTCCTTCTGGCTTTCCCACCAATATCCTATACGCATTCCTTGTCTCCCCCATTCGTGCTACATGCCCCGCCCACCTCATCCTCCTTGACTTGATCATTCTAATTATACTTGGAGAAGAGTACAAGCTATGAATTTATGTTTAATATTGAAGATAAATTCGTACATCTCGAAAAGGTAAACAGGCGTGCCCACGACAAAACCATAAGTTACGTATACCTTTTCATAATCCGACACAAGGCATCTACAGAAAGAAACGAAAATAAACACACCAGTAAACGCATGAAACATCATGGTCGAACGGCTGTAAATCCTGCTTCATATTCAGAGGGTACCAGTTTCAAACCATGGCACGGAGACCAGATATACTAAGGTTCTTTGTGCCTTTTCTCCATCTCTCCGAACAGATGGCTCTTGATATTACTTCTGTTGCGTCTGTCATTCGACGCCACAGATTCTGAGCAATTGTAGACGTCCTTAAAGGAGTCAACGAACGTCTTCTCTGTCGGAATTACGGGACGCCTTGTTTTCATTCTCCTGGAACCGAACTAATATCATCAGATGACTTAGACATATACTTTCTCTCAGTGTAGTGCTGTCGCTAAGGAGCGTCATGTTAATTCCCCAGGTGTCGTGGATGACGTCAGTGCTGAGCGCTCTGTTTCATTCAGACATATGTACGTGTATCTTCGAGAGAAGAGACCTGGAATGATCTGGATGTTTGTGACAACCATTACATGTCAAACACAGCGACACTGCCCACTGTCTGAATTATATTAGGTGTTTAAGTTTTGAGGTTTTCACGGCGATGACTATGAAGAAAGTCGTCTTCTGGGTTGTGGCGCCACAACCCANACAGTGTATATGGGGGCACAAAATGGCGAGGTTGTTTCGCCTGTCTCTCCGTTTGCATTTTTAGGACAATTCGTTCTGGGGATCCACATTGAAATTGTTGTGCGTGTTCAATTTTTATGAATGTCGTCTTCTGGGACCGGTCTAGAAAACCGAAAATAACGGCCGTGGGGATTCGTTGCCCTGACCACGCGACACCCTCTATCCGCTAAAGTTGGCACTAACTTCGCCGACAAGCGGCGGTCGCTCGGTAGGTATAGTTCTCTTGCGGACTAAAACCATGGAGTTTTCTTATCGTCTTCTGGGATGTGGCGCTGTGTAGATATTGTGTAAATCGACGCTTCGGAGGAATGTATCAACTCCATCTTCAGGGTATAAAAATCCGCGAACGAGGAACCAGCGTGTGCAGGTGGCTGCAGACTTGCTTCCAAAAGTTGTCCAGGTCAGTATTCACTAACCAACCAAGCCATTCAGTCTGAGGTACAGAGAGCTCATCCCCCCGCCAAAGCACCATATATATGCAGAGAAATATATTCCTGAAAGAGTACACATAATTTGAAATGTATTCTTGCACTTCGTCTGGCACTTTCGGAGATTGAAACATGTGGGACGGACATATGGAATCCCTCATAATGCCTCCTTTTCATTTAGTGCTCGCAAAAAATTCATTATGTACGTAGCTTCAATTGTGAATTTATTAAACTGCAGTCAGAAATATTGCATCTTTGTATCTGGACAAGATTCGGAGATTAGTGTGTGTTTCTATGTAGTAGTAGGAGAGAGATTGAAGAAGGGATGTTTTAGGAAAGTCGAAACAAATACGTACGCCCACTCTTGTGCCCAAGGTAAGCAAGTAAATGCGAGGCATGAATATCGTACGTCAGCGGTGATTCTGCAAATCGTTAACAAGAATGGGTTTCTAGAGGAGCGACTAGCTCTTCCTTGTCACAATCTCATTACATCCCAAGAATAAACAATGGATCTAAACTTAGAATCAATAAGCCCGAGGGGTGTACAAGACAAGTTTCATTACGCTGACTTCTATCTGCGGCCCCTGCGGCGTTGAGCGGGTACACGACATCGTAATCAGCTTCATAACACGTGCTAACGTCATCAAATCAAGACACATAAGGTGGACAGAACGTGCTGCAAGTATAGGTCCGTCCGTCTGGAGAGACTAGTCTCGGGGCTGGGACCGAGGGATCGGGGTTCGAATGGCGGGAGAGGAGATTATTCTATTATGCATAGCGTCTAGACTTCTTCCTAATGCGCACCGCGGACCCTTTCCAAGGGGGTGAAGCTACTGAGGGGTAGAACTGACAACCACTGCCATCTAGTGGCGAGGTTAATTGTGTAGCTATACCTACATTCCAGTATCTTCTTGGCGTTGTGCTTAAACGACCACAGGGAAACATTTACCTTTACCTCCATGATGAGATGAGAAATGCACACAAAATATTAATAGGGAAATCTGAAGGAGAGAAAACACATGGAGGAACTTTGAGGGAACAGGGAGATAATATTAAAATCTACCATAAATAAGCACAATTGAGATACAGGACCGGGTCCACGGATAGATTCTTACGAAAACCGCAATGGCCCTTTGGATTCCATAATACACAAGAGATTTCTTGACCTACCGGCCATTAGCCTTTCATGCACCATGGGCCGAACAGGAACAATTGGAAGCACGAGACATGTACGGAAGGCGGAAATGAGAAATTCATACAAAACTGTGATCGGAAAACATGACACGACGATCTCTTGCCGTAGATAGGCGATTGTTCATCGGCTTTCAAGGAAGATTCTATTCCCTAGCGTCCATAATAATAACAGCCATGATAGCATAGTCGGTATAGCGACTGGCTACTGGCTGGACGTGAGGAGCCGGGATGGCGCAGTCGGTACAGCGACTGGCTACGGGCTGGCCGTGAGGAGCCGGGATAGCGCAGTCGGTATAGCGACTGGCTACTGGCTGGACGTGAGGAGCCGGGATAGCGCAGTCGGTATAGCGACTGGCTACTGGATGGAAGGCCGAGATATCGGAGTTCAAGTCCCGGTACAACCAAGATTTATATCCCGTACACGACGTTCAGACCGATTGCGGGGCTCACCCATCCTCACATCCAATGGGTACCGGGGGCTCTTTCCTCGGGGGTAAAGCGGCCGGGGCGTGAAGCTGACCACTCACCTCCAACTAGTGCCGAGGTCAAGAAAACGTGGATCTACATGTCCACTCCCACATACGTCTTCATGGCGTAGTGCTTAATTAGTTAAGCACAGGGACAACTTTACAACAGTAACAGCTGCAGCAAGAGA